ATATATATATATATATATATATATATATAAAGAAGGTCGCGTTTATACGACAATATCGGTGTTAGTAGCCTTTCTTTCTAATCTTGGGAACGCTCTTGCTTCTGATTGACAATATTAAAATTGAGTTAAAGAAGGTATTTCTCTCCTATTTAGGACGTAAAATTCGTCTTTGAATAGATTTTAATACAATCCATTATTATCTTTATTTTTTTTTGTATGGTGGGTTGAGTTTGTACTTTCCACCGTGGCTAGTAGTGCCCCGACTGCTCGGTCGCGATCTTGTTTCAAACGCAATTAGTGTTCTCTAATGTTTTGTTATTGCAACAAGTTAATTACTAAACGTTGTTTACTTGAAAATAAAATATGTAATTATAACTAGATGTGTTCTTTATTATGTTACTTTAATTTTTTTTTCTAGGCTAAATGGAAGAAAAAATTAAATATCACGAAGATAGAATTATTGTGACCAGTGTTACACTGAGTTACATAATTTTGGAGAACGTTGATATCTATGGTTTATCCGTTGAGCTTATCATTTATCAGAATTAACTGGCGAATAATTACTTTAAACAGACATTTCAATGTTTTCAATTAATTTAATAATTTTATATCTATTGTAACAATTATTTCATTTTAAGCTACACTTAAATCAAAGATTTAAATAAATATTTATTTATTTTTTAAAAATTTAATTTTTAAAATGTCTTCTAAGGATACTTCAACTCTAAATTTTAGAAAAGTAAATATTAGTGTTTTTTTTTTAGATTATTTTTATTTAGTAATTATGATTTGATGTATTACTTATATAAGAATTTTTTTAATTAATACATTTATTTTAAAAATGACAGTTAAAATTCTATTTAGTTTAATTTTGTATTTTTACTACATGATGTTTAAAACGTAAATTTCATAGGAAATTTAATTATCTAAAGTATCAATTAAATTTCATGTATAAATAAGATAAATATATTTTCAAGTTTAAAATTATTTTTATTAAAAATTATTATTTGAAATGATTTAGTTAAATCATTAAATGTAATTATTATAAAAAAGTAAAGTAATTAAGTTTGTTAGTTGTGTATAAATACTTCAGAAATAAATCAAACCTCTTCTAGTTAATTGATAATCCAACTAGAAGAGGTTTTTCTTTTTACAAATTATTATCCTTCCCACTTTAAATAAAATAAAAATGATCAAATTAAGAAAATGATTGCAAATAACGACAATTAACAATAATTGCAAATTTTGATCCACTATTTCACAAGTTATTAATATTTAAAAATAGAATAAAAAAATGGGTCTGTTTATTTTTATCTCTCATTTTTTCTGAATTATGCATCTTCTTCTTCAATATAAAAACATTTATAATATAAAATAATAACTTAAAAGTTGTTATCAATTATTAATTTTTTAGTCTAATTATTTTCTTCTTTTAAACCAGTTAAATATTTATGTTTCCATTTAAAATACTAAAGTTGATACAATTTCAAGAGATATAATAGTTTTATGTTACTTGTTGCTTGAAATGCTTGAGGATATATCCATGTTTGCAGTTGAGTTCTGACGTTTCTGACTCATTGCAGAGTCCATCTTCAGAGTGATGGTTGCTAGTCGGTGGCTGCAACTATACTATAACTATAACTATACTATATAGTATATATTATATATTATAATATACATATATTTTTCTTTTCTAATTTTCACTTAATTAGTGTATATAATTCTGTTAAAGTAATCAAGGTTAAGTATATTAGTTATTTTTTGTAACTTTTTAGTACATTAGTGACAGCCTTTTTTTTATATTTTTGATCAATAATTGATTTTATATATCTATTTTAATAATAACTCGGGTTTATTGTAATTTTTTTTAAATATTTTATTTTTACATAAATGTTGCTGAAGAAGCTTATAAATTTAATTTCTTAACAAATACCCTGCAGAATAATAGATTTTTTGAAACCTTTTATTAAACATATTGTCACTGTTGTATAAAAAGTGATCAAGGCTAAATTTTATTTTTATTTTATTTTTTGTGGCAGTAATTTAAAGTTGTAAGCGACTAAAAATTTTTAATTTTAAGATTTACAAATATAAAAATATCTATTTTTAAACATTTTAAAATTATTTTCAATTATTGATAAGTATTATAAAAGGAAAAATTTATTTTTGATAAATTAGACAGCATGTGGCATTATAATAGTGCCAAACTATTATAAGATTTCAATCAGAAAATTTTATCTTCTTCAATTGTCACAATCAAATTAAATCCATAATAATAGTATAAATTAGTAAAAAATTACTTTGGAAAAGGAGTCTAGATACAATGGGCTAGTCGGTGTATAATAACAATGGGGTGTTTTTGGTGATTATAAAAAAAGTACCAGAGTATTATAGACACCATTTATCAAAATTTAATTATAGTAGAATAATATTTTATATTCCTGTTAACATTTTTTAATTGATTAATTTTATTTGTATCTTATTTAGTTATAATTTTTTTTTAGGTCGAAAATGAAAGTAATGAAAATCTTGGCAATAATTGTTTTGATAAGGTAAATTAATAAATATAATTGTTAAAGAAAGGTACAATTTGCTTCTTTTATTCTTTTTAACTATTCATATAAAAATAGGCTCATTCATTAAATAAGGTTTCTACATACAATTTTTAATACAAGGTGATTCCTTAACTATGCCTCATGAAATATCTTTGAAAATCATTACATTGTTGAAAATATATAATGATTAATAATTAATATTTTTGAAGATATTTCATTAGGCGAGTTAAGAAGTCCTTTTATATGTTATTTTAGACTGTTTGTAAACAATTATAAAAAAAAAGATTACTATTTATGTACAATTAAATTATTTTAAAAAACTTAAATTTTTAAAAATTCAAACTAAAATGTTATTTTATATCTTAATGGTTGTTGTAAAAGTTTTGCACATTTTGTTTTTATTTATTCATTAAATCGGTTCACAATAAGTGTAATATTTACTGAATAATTTATAATACGACAGGTGAACATGAAAAAACACAAATTATTAAGATTTAATTAAACAAACAGTAGATATAGATGAATTTATATATTATACTTACTACTTTATTGGTGAGTTCAGTACTTCTTAAGAATTTAAACAATTGAGATATGCCTTCTTAATCAGGTCTCAATAATGAAAGATAAGTAAAATAATAATTTTTTTTTATTCTAAATAGGCTCTACATTGTGTGATTGTGTTTAATAGTAATTATAATTCTATGAATAAGATATATACAATTTTTTTAGATATTAGGTAATTCTTTTTTGTACATTTGTTTAGGAATTCTGTATAATAAAAATAAAGTACTAAAAATATTGAAATTTTTTTAGATGATTTTCTCTAACTTTATGTTATATGAGTAAGCATTACTCACCTTAATCAATACTTTAGTATTAAGAGGCTAAGTTCCTCCAAAATTTTAGGAAAATTGTATTAGCTTCGATGCGAAGCTGAGAAGGTATTAATTTTACTATGATGTGTTTTTTTTTTTTTTTTTTTT